AGTATGGTTTTATTTTTCCTGTAAAAGTATGGTCTTTCCTAATCTAAAATGATAAATTATAAATTTCTTGTATTGAGCAATTCTAACTTTTTCAAAGTATTTGTTTTATATTTTTTTGAAACATTTAAGGAAATGAGAGACTGTTTTCTACTCAAGGCTATAAATCTTAAAAATTTAAATAAATTATTGAAAACGGAGGAGCTTTATAGCTGCTTTATACATGTTATAGACATAATTTATATTCAAAAATAAATATTAGATTTTATATAGTCAGTCCGTACCTGTATGCGTATTGAATGAATTTATTAGAGTCCTTGCATGATCATGCTGACCAGTGAAACCTTGAGGGCTTTAGGTCTTTTCTTTCATTTTATTTCATGTAAATTTGCTTGGTGTGGTACATGTATTTTTTTTCCATAACACCTTCCAAACGCTACCAGTTCGTCTTCTTTCATCTCTTTTTTATGATTTAAATTTATTAATTCCTTTGAAAAAGCTATAAAAGTGTTATATTGCATGAAAGAAGACGAACTGGTTCTTTTAATCACTTTAAAGAAAGCATTTTTCTGGTTTAGGATTGAGAAGCTACTGCATTTACATATTATTTAGAATGGAATACAATGGGATTTATTCCCAAATCAGGGCCAGTGGGCATAAACATCTATAAGTATAATATACTTAACTTTTGTCAGTGTAGCTGAAAAACAAAATCCGGATAAATATAACAGTTTAGTCTTTGAATTTTACGCTATTTGTCAGAGTCACCCATATGTTTCTTAGAGTACGACTTATACATAGGGAAAGAAAAAGATGTGGGTGACAATGGTGCCAAAATGAGGAATTAGAAGTATCACAAGTCATGATTTGATTTGGTCTCTTTCAATCAATTTCAAAAACATTCTTTGAAAAGTAGAGAAGTTTTTGTCTTTGTTTGAATCAAGTCCATTATGCTACAAACAGCAGAGCTCAAACTAAACTCCATGTAAGTAGAACAACTATCATTACTATGTGATTCACGATCAACAGTGTTCAATAACAGGTCACAGGACTGAGGAGTCGGCAGTTTTATCAGTAAAATAGTGAAAACAATAACCTGTGAGCTACGCTAGCGTAAGCAAAGTCACATTATTTTTTACATTGTTTTTCTGATGAAATTGCCGGTCCATTCCATTGTCTTTTTTTTTTATAATCATTTATCTCCCCCACTTGGAATATTATAGATTAACTTTCAAACTTTTATTTGTTTACTTTTTTACTTACGGGTCAGTCAAAAAAAAAAAATAATAATAATAATTCCCTTCTTATCATGCTTATGCCATGTCTTATTTACGTATGCAGTGATAAATGTACAGTACTTGGCCATAAGTGAGTCATAATTTTATTTTTCCACTATATATTTCATTAGGAAACAAATTTTTCTAATATATTCTTGCAGTGTCATTTATTGTTTCTTTTTAATGTCTAAAACACCATAAAATGCAGAATTTGTTGTAGTTTCTTCACATTATTTCAAAATAGTTTTATCTTTATGCATTACCGTGAAATCACAGGTCAAGTGCAAAACAAAAATTTTAAGACTTCAATTTGTTAAGAAATCTTAGTCATTTGAGGTTAGAAATTTTTGTCAAGTCAATATTTTATGATTTATTCTCAATAGTTTAAGTATGATTTTGTTTATCATTTAAGATAAGAAAATTTTAATAATTCTGCATGTTTCAGTGAAAAAATCATGAAAATTGAGCTAAAATTGACTTAACAACAAGTTTTTATGAAAATAGGTTTTTCAATGAAATATGTAGTGTAAAAATAAAATTATGACTCACTTATGGCCAGGTACTGTATATCAATGAATTTGAAAAAAAAAATTAATTAATTAAATTGTTACAAAGTTGATAAAAAATGTACATGTATTGTACTTAATTTATGTTGCAACTCCAAACAATATTTATTTTATAATTCTTACTTGATAATTACAAGCATTAAGAGAAATAATATGGGTTTTTTTACCCCACATGAAAAATTATGGGATAATAAACTCCACATTTTATTTTTAGTGAAATGTGGGTTAAAAAACCCCACGAAAAATAATATGGGTTATTTAACCCCATGGGGTGAAAAATAAACCCCATGGGGTTTTTGTGGGGGTTTTTGTGGGGTATTTTTAAGTTCATGTTTCCCCATGGGATTTTTGTTTTTGAACTCAAATATCTCAAAAACTAGCAGAAAATGTTGAAATTTTTTTTTCATAAATCAATTTGATAATAAAAACCCCACCATTTAAAAAAAACCCTAAGATGATAGCTTTAAAGGAAAAGGGTGCGCAAGTTCGGAAAAATGTCCATTCCGAAGTTGTCCGTCCCACTGTTACTGACACGGTCTGGCGGAGCAATTCTTGAAGCGGATAGCTTCATCTCCCATAGGAATTCGCACATTCAATGGTAGTTTCCTTCCGGGCATCCTCTGAAAAGTTTATTTCATGAACACCTTGCTCTCATGTACAGTAGAATATCAGAACAGATTTGATATAAAGTCCTCGATCGGGGGTAGGGAAATCCGTATGCGCCCCTGGCTTCAATTACAGTGTACAAAACATGATATAGTGTTCGAAAGTTCTTGGTATATAAAAGTGAGTATTTCGGGAATTATTTTAAACTCACCAAGTTGTTGTTTCGCTGAGATTTCCAGTCGTTGAACACTTGAACCATGTTGACTGCCCATGAACTGATGAAGTGTTACGGCGTGTGGTGTTACTTTCTTGATTTTTTAAGCGCACTTATTTCACTGGCCGACACATGTTTTCCGAATCTGTATAGCTAGTATTTTCAGTCCATTCCGTAAAATTTTCCCGTTTCAATTCCGGAAATGATCCCAAACACCAACACTGTAAATCGAAATTCATAAAAGTCCTGGCCACATGGGCCATTTTTAAATCCAATCGCCTGAGTTCATACAATCTGAACTGCTTGACTCGATTGAAAATTATCCACGTCGTAGGCTTGCTGCAAAAACGGCGATTCTTTACGCTATAGACCCTTTCTACTACTTTCTCCAAATCCATAGACTACAAATGAATTGATTATCTCAAGAAAATGATCACGTGGTACAGTACTAAGAAAATTTACCAAATTTGTAAATCCGTTACTTGGATACCAAAAACCCTTCGCGTTAAGACTATCACGTGGTTCTGATTCAGAGTCTTTATTAGTTGATGCAAAGAAAATACCTACTATGGGAAGAGGTCAAATGAAGGGTCATGGGATAAATCAGTTACATGATTGACAGCTCGATGATGCATACAAAATATCGTTTCGTTATTGCAAACTCGGAGGCTAACGCCTCCTCGCGTGCAATAACTCAACGATATTTTGTATGCATCATCTCGTGTCATCATGTAACTATTACATATCGTATGGCGTGTATTTTTGGCGGGATGCTTAAAGAGATATCTCTCTCGCTTAAATTGATATCTCTATAGCTTATAAAGCTATCGCTCTAGGTAAAAGATAATTCTCTTTTGTTTAAGATCTCTCTAAGGTATAACGGTATCTCTGTTAGTCAAAGATATATCACTAGAAGCTAACGAGATATATCTCCTTGGTAGAGAGATATCTATTTTATTGAAAGAAAATTTTCATATCACGAATAAATTGTAAAGGGGCTTTCCAAATAATTCTATAGAAAATATGTAACATGACATTTAACACAGAAACAACATAGAACATAGGAAATGCTATTTGAAATTTTTAGTAATTTTCTTAGAGCTGTTTTACTAGTGTTGACAATTCGGACGATTTTTTAGTAATCTTACGATCGCGAGTACCCGGTTACTCGGATGATTTTTTTTTAAAGTATCCATGTGTAGTACCTGTATTTATCTTATACTTTACTTATCGGTACACATACAAACGATATCAAAGTAAAAGCATTTTAATTTTATATCAAAGATAATAAGACATTTGACACACGAAAAGACAAATAAATACATTGTCAATCACCATTTTTGAATTGGTTTCGTTACACTTTCCTTTTCAGAACCTCGAAATATTTAAATACTCCGAAATTAGTAGTAAAATTGTGGAGTTTCCAGTAAATCACTGGTTTCCGAGTAATATGCAAATAGCAGTTTTTAAGGTCAAAGTCTATTAATCAGTACAAAGCAGGAGCAGAGAGGAACTTCTAAAACATTAGACATTGGATGAGGTGCAATACAGGAATGAGTATCCCCTGCCTACCGGCCATACCAACCGAATGCTCCATGTAATGATCATGAAAAAACGGAAAAATCTCTCGGCAATTCCATGTATTAGTAATGGCATACAATTAGTGTGAAAAACGTCTGTTTTTTGAAGCATTTAACTTATTGATAGGTTGAATTTTGGTTACAAGGTCATTGTATGAAATAAGAGACTTACAAAATGACTTTAAACAAAACGAAAGCTTTTTCTTTAAATAATTCATAACAATATTTTTATATCACCAATTTATACATAGGTATATTTGCAATTTTAAAGACCACTTAAATAAATAGATGACCTTTTTCCTGTTCAACATTTCATTTGATTTGTTTAAGGTATGTCACTGGAGAAATTCGTGAAATCAAGGAGTATACTTTGGATAAGTACTCATATAGTATGATTCAAAATCGCAGAGAAAAAAGGTGGTCAGTGTCCATCTTACTGATCTACGGTACAATTAATTTGAGCTTTTTCATTTACGTTTTAACTCTGTTTAATTACTTTAATCTTTTATATATTTATGTAAATAGGGCAATACATATAATTTTGTTTTACATAAGATAGTTTGAATAATACTTGCTATTGTTTAAATCTTTCAAATTAATGCGCGTTTAAAATTGTGTGACCTTTTTACACTAAAACGTAATATATTTGTGGTATTAAAAACTAATTTATTTGAAAATTATATGTTTTATTAGATTTTTAATGTTCAAAATTCTACATTATTTAATTCATTGTGATAATTTTTATAACATTTTGGAGGACTGAGTTGTAAATCCATGAAAAAAAATGAGAACCTTGAGGTTAAATGATTCATTTGACTTTTTCGTGATTTTCGAGGGAAATTATATATCCCCTGTCATTAATCTGAACATGCTCTTTAATTGAATGACAATTTAAAAAAACCTACTGTTTACGAAAATTGAAAAAAACACATCAATTTTAATTAGATTTATGAATTATAAAAACTTTGTGTGAGTAACGTTTAAACCGAATAAAAGTTTCTATCAATGTTTCTGGCAAATGAAAGATGATGTTTGTACATGTACTGTACTTTCTTATTTGTATCCTGTTAAAGTCTCATGTAGTTAATTGCACTGTCAAGCATCTAGTGAAGACGATATTTCAGACCTATTCGAGAACAGGCAGATTCGTCAACATGTCTGAAATATGTTTAGGAGTGTTTCGTCTGATGTTTCTTCATGATTTCTTGGAGTTTTTCTTCAATTTTGGAAAAATTATATCTATTGTCTGGGTTGCGTTTCCAACAGGATAACATCAGGTCATCGCACTTCTTGGGTGTTCCTTTAGGAGCTGACATTTTGTACCCTAAAAAAATAATTTTAGGTTTATATACGTTGGGTTACCAAAAGGTCATGGACGAATAAGAGAAAATTAATCCTATATACCAGGTATCTATTCTATGATTATAAAAAAAATATAAAGAACATTAAACAACACTTCTTTCAATATTGTTGAATAATTTAGCTTGATATGTTTATAATTTGTCCACCCAGCACTGTCACCATATAATTAAATATTTTTTTCAATAGCGGCTACTACCTTATACAACTTTTTTATGCTTTTCTCGGAGTGAAGAAAGGACTCAAACCTGACTTGATATAACTTGACTTATACGATTTTGAAATGTCATTCACAGCTGCTTTCAATGCATGTAATATTGTATAAATGGATCTATACATAGGACAGTATTTTCAGTTGATCAAGCCAGTCTATTTGCATGTTAGGTTTCAATATCTACCACATATGATGAACGTCAAGTTTTGACGCTTTTGACTCTCTGAATGAAACATTAGCAGTACATTTCTTATCTCTCATAATCTAGATGTATTTCTCTGTATCCCATTTTAACATTTAATGTCTATTCCACGTTTTTCAGAACTGAAACTTTAGAGAATGGTGATGAAAAACCACCCACATTTTGACAAAATTTCAAGCCCTTAATAGTCTAGACACACCATAAAAAGTAAAATGATTCAATGGTATTCAATTAAGATGCGATTCACATTCCATTTAGATATACCGAATATGTCTTGTCAATCAAAAATGGTAATTTCCATTCTTATGTCAATATAATATCTGATAGTGAGCCCGGGATTAAAAATACCTCAGAGTATGGCAGATCTGTTTCATACTTGGATATTTTACTTAAAAGAGATGTTAATGGTCATTTAACAACCATGCTTTGTGATAAACGTGATCTTCAATACTATTTGTTATCTCCCAACTTGTTTCATGCAAAATCTAGATGAGATTTTGTTAAAATCTTAAGCTAGAAATGCAAAATAAATTACTGTATTCGAAACAAAATAATCATTGCATGTCCACATAAATGAAATACAAGGAATACACATGTATATACAAAAAATGTTATGTCGTAAAGCTATATACATCTATCCTGCTTCTGATAAAATGAAATTTCATTGTTAGAGAAGAATTCTGTGAAGGATATGGAGATAACAAAAAGTATCCAATGTCAAAGTCCATAAAACAATACAAAATCAATGTATGTGGATTCACAGCTTAGTTAACCCACAACATATTCATATGTCCCCCTCCACAGGACGTACCCAACACACATTAAATCAATATGCCATCTACAAGTGCTATACTGCGCAGATCATAGTCAATACGTTGTGTTCATTTTAACTCAGAAAAAAAACTTAATTATGAAATCTTCGACAGGATTAGTACACCTTGCCCAATATTTCAATTTTTCAAGGATCCCACATATTCTGTATAACCCCTCTAAGTGCCTACATAAGTAATAATGTTCATTACCAGATGTAACTTTTTCCATTATCTCTTCATTTGTGAACCCTTCATAAGGTAATTCTCCTGATGAAAATATCTCCCACATCAGGATTCCAAAACTCCAGACGTCACTAAAGAATGTATACTTTCCTACAGAATAAACACTTATTACTATATTTCAAACGATAAACTACTTTATCTGGTTTCAGGAAAGTACTCTCTCTCTCTCTCTCTCTCTCTCTCTCTCTCTCTCTCTCTCTCTCTTGTTACCAAGCAGGAAAACTTCTGGTGCAGTCCATTTCACTGGAATGTTACTGCCTTTAGTTATTTGATATCCATCACCAAATTCTGTCATCCGGAAGTTTGATATCTTCACCCTTTTATCATCCACAGAGCAATTTCGTGCTGCAAGGTCTCTGTATAATGTTATATATGAATTAATATTGATCAATTCTGTATATTTTCAGTAAATATTTGTTATGCTTAATTATATATATACAGTATGATTTCAGTATTTCATCGATTTCATTGTAATTGATACTATTTTATTTAAAAGCAATTAATTGATGTTTTTATGACATTCTGAGAAAGAACTAATTATCCTTACCTATGAATGAATCTTCTATGGTGTAAGTAAGTCATTCCACTTGCAACATCCTTACACATTTGAATTCTTTTTCCCTTTGAAATGGATACGCTTTCTACCCTAAGATAACTTAGTAATATTCCACCTATTTAAAAGAATATTTATTTTACAATTTATATTTAAATAATTTGCTTATCATTTTAATCATAGATTTATTCTTCTGTTGATTTACATTGTTGAGTAATTCTTAAACATTTATTAATTCAAGAATATCACCAATTATCGAATAATTGAGTTTAATATTGTTTTTTATTACATGTTTAAAAGAAATTCATTTGAAAAGATACAATTATGTATTTGGTTAATTAACGAGAAAAAACTTTTTGTTAATATCAATTAATCTTGCACTGAATAATATTAATCAAAATTCCATTTTCAACAATACATTTTTTTTTATTTTTTGAATCATGCGCTTTATTTCATCTTTATTCTACATTCTTAAAAAGTTGTAATTTTTTAAAAACAGTTCAATTTCTAAGAAAATTATTCTCTCCCCTTCGAGAGATGTATTTGTAAAAAGAAAGAAAGGAGAGATATCAAGGTAATGCTACAATTTGTCTGAGTTACCAGAGAGGTATTCCATGACAAGTAAAACGGGACTTTCTAATGCAGAATATCCAATGAGTCTGATTATGTTTGGATGACTGAACTTTCTCAATAACCCGAGATTCTTGAATGCTTGTTCTTGATTTTCCCACATTTGGATGAAAACCTTCGCGGAACCAAATGTTCCA